TGTGTGTGTGTGTGTGTGTGTGTGTGTGTGTGTGTGTGTGTGTGTATGTGTGTATGTGTATCCCCAGAGCCTGGCACATAACAAGCACTTTAATAATATTTGTTAACTTGACCTGAGGGGTATGTGATACTTGGGGTGTTAACAGTGACGGTGACACAGAAGAGTGGCCCTTGGAACAATGACATCCCGGGTGGCCCTGGGGAGGTGACACTGGGAGGTCACACCAGTGACATCCACAGTTCAGGCTCTGAGTCACTTCCTCCTCCCCGCAGGCGGATGACTGATGACGTGTTTGGGTGCCTCAGGACCCGCGCCTGGCCAGGTCCTCCAGAGCAGTCAAGGCGAGCGCGGCGAGAGCGGCCTCCACGCAGGAGCCTCTCTATCCGGAGGGCGGAGGAGGCACGGTGCACTCTGGGAAGGTGGCTGTCAAGCAGGCTGGGTGCTAGGTTTGGTGGTGTTTGGGAGCGCGATGGCTGGGGGTGAAGGGACTTCAGGCACAGTGGAGGAGCTGGTGAAGGGGACGAGGCAGGCGGCCGAGTTCGCCGAGCAGTTCCGGGCTTACTCAGAGAGCGAGAAGCACTGGAAGGCCCGCATGGAGTTCATCCTGCGCCACCTGCTCGATTACCAGGAAGGGCCCGACCGCGGCGGCCGCCTGGACCAGCTGCTGGCGCTGTCCATGGTGTGGGCCAACCACCTCTTCCTGGGCTGCAGGTGCCGACCCCTGACTCTGACCTCCACCCCCTTTAGGCCCACCACCTACCCTGTTCTAACCTCTGACCCCGGGACCACCAGCCCAGTCCTGACCTCTGACCTCCTCCGTGCTCACTGCCCCAGGCCTAACTTCTGACCCCGGGATCCTGTCCTCTGACACCCCCCCACCCTTAGCCTGATGTCTGGGCCCATTGCCCAAGACTAGCCTCTGAAGCTCCCTCTGCCGCCTTATTCCTTATTTTGTTCTCTGAGCCCACCTCCCCAAGCCCACTCCTCGACTCAGAAGTCTGTTGGACAATCCCTGGCCACAAGTGAAGGAGAGGGAATTAATTCATAACTCTTCCCTCATCCTTCACTGCACTGAGGATGAACCTAGGTTTGAACCCCTCTGAAGTCCCCTAAGTCTGTCCCCACACACCTTTGGTCCCTTGAGTGTTGAAGTAGACTCATGTGGTCAGACCTCTGACCGGCTGGGGCCAGTTCCATTCTGCTACACCATCCCTGTTATATTAGACTTTTTTCTTTCTGATATCTAACTCACTAAGCTCCTTGACTTCTTCTCTCTGACTGTTTCTTGGTTGGGGCGTTTTCACTGATGACCCCTTTTTCTATGCCCATCTCATAGGGTTTCTCTTTCTCTTTGGAGAAAACTTTCATCCCCTCCTACCTCTCCTTATTCATTGTGATATGGAAAGAGTCTTGGATTGGAAGTCAAGAAACTTGAGTCTTAGTTCTTTTCCTTCCAGTAATTTACTATATGAACTTAGGACTCTTTCCCTCTCTGAGCCTAGTTGTCTTCTCTGTAAAATGAAGGATTTGAACTAGGTCAGGGATTCTTAACTCTTTTTGTGTCATGGACCAATTTGGCAATCTGGTGAAGCCTGTAAATCCCTTCTTAGAATAATTGTTTTTTTTTAAATAAATAATTAAAGGAAATGCTAAATTTTAATTAGGTGTTAGTGGAAATAAAGATGTATTTTTTTTCCCCTTGCAAGTCCATAAATCCCCTGAAATCTGTCCTTAGATTCCTTGGGGGTCCATGAACTCTAGATTAAGAACCTCTGAACTAGATGGTCTCCAAGGTTCTTTTCAGATCTAATGTTTTGTGAAAACCTTTTTTTTCCTATGAAGATAAAACACCTTTGTCTTCTCCTTAATACTATACATACAATATTCATATCCTCTCATTGTCCTGCCCCTTCCCCATCAGTACCCTTCTGACAACAGACATGAGAACAGACATAGAGTACCTATCTTGCCTGGTTTCATTCCTGAAGAAGCCGGGGTCCTTCCATCATCCAATTTATGCAAATGGGGATCTTTGTTTAACATGAAAAACCTGCTTTGTGCCAAGAATATAAAAGGTATAACCGCTCCATTTAAAATGCTCCTTTCCTTCACAGGGAAATAAGTAGTGAGGATGAATGAGTCTTCTTATGAAGCTTGTTACTGAGATGGGCTTCAGAAATGACAATGAAAATAGCTTCATATGCATGATTGTTAAATAACATTAGGTCTCATTCTTGACCCCAGTACTGTTTTCACTGTCAATTAAGGACTACCTCTGTCTCCAAACCTGCCTGATCACACAGCTTTTCCTAGCCTAAGCCACTATCTTGTACTTTTAGACTTACAAGTGCAAAGCTACAGTGGGCCATAGGGGCAGGGTTAGTGTAGACATGAGAAGAACTTGAAAATCTTTAGGTCAGGGCTGGAAGAAGTACATATCCTTTCTGTGTCTCTGATGAGAACCTTTACAGGGGCAGAGACTGTCATTTCTATCTAGTAGTACCCAGTGTTGAACAAGAAAAAATGTCAGTTTCCTACGTCCACCATTTTTAAGCTCTGAAAAAATAATCTTTTAGTTTTAATATCACTTCCAAATGTGAAGTATACTTTATATATCTCAATCCTGAAATATCTGCTTATTCATACCTCCTATATCTTCCTCTGAGCACCTTCAAGTATAATGAACAGTTTCTTAACTGAAATATCTTCATGCTGCCAGATAGTGATATGTTTTCCCTACAGCATCAAGGCAATTTACTAAGAGTTTTACTCTTAAAATGGCATACTGCAATTTCATATTAACACCCAACTACAAGTGACTCTTCAGTCCAAGCCATTTACCTTATTTTTTATCGTACAGTTACAACAAAGAACTTTTAGACAAGGTAATAGAAATGGCTGATGGGATTGAAGTAGAAGATCTGCCACAGTTTAAAACCAGAGATGAATTAATGAAAAAGGTAAATATAGAATATTTCAGTATTCAGTTTGAATGATGATGTTGAATTTAACTGTTCAAGTCTTTATGATGTCTGGAATCACTTTTACAAATTAATATGTTTGAGAAAGGAACATACCCCCACCTTTTCTCCCTATCCCTCTTCCTATCCCTTTCTCTCTTTCTCTCCCTCTCCCCCCTCAATGTCTCTATCTCTGACTGTCTCTCCCTTTGTTTCTGTCTCTTTGTCTCTCATTTTTAATGCTCTTGTTCACTATTCAAAAGGATTAAGTTTCTGGATTTTTATTTCCCTGCCACTGGCATTTTCCTACTAGATCCAAGAAGTGGACCAGAGGACCACTGCTTTGAAGGCTAACAAGCAAATAATACCTCTTTTATTTGTTTGAGAGCATTTTGCTTTGAACTTTTGGATTTATTTAATTGAGTAAATGTTTGCTAAAATGATAGAAAAAAATAGAAAGAGACCCTTCGTTTGGAAAATTGTTATTTACCCTAGGGTAGGCCAGAGTTGTGTTTGTTTGATGGCAGGTGAGAATATAGATGCAGTGTTATATACAAGTTCCATAATAGTTTGCTATTCATCAAGGTTGCACACAGGCATGCAGGCTGAATATTTTTTTTTTTTTTGGTGAGGCAACCTGGGTTAAGTAACTTGCCCAGGATCACATAGCTAGTAAGTGTCAAGTGTCTGAGGTCAAATTTGAACTAAAGTTCTCCTGACTCCAGGGCTTCTCTATCCTCTGTGCCACCTGGCTTCCCCACATGCAGGCTGGATATTTCAATGCTCATTGATCATAGAAGTGTGCTTAGAAGCTGGCATAGAGTAATAAAGAGAGAATGGTGGAGAACCTTGGGGGACTGGAACTTTTCAGCCCTTCCTTGTAAATGAGCCCCAGAAACAAAGGAAGGAGACTTCTCATAGCCTTCACTATTGACAAGCAAGCAGCCTACATCCATGTCCCTCACTAAATCTTGTTGAAGTATTTGGGATGACCAGGAGGAAAGTAGACCCACAAAGAATGCCTGCCAAGTGAACAGGTAGGAAACCCAGCATAGCAGTAGGCCCCTCAGAGGGTGCTGAGAACACAAGAAAAACACCATACCTTATTTGCAATAGCTTTCAGGAAAGCTGTTAGAACAGTTTTTGTTTTAAAAATGTTCTTTTGTTTCTGTATCACTTCATATGTCATATACTCTTTACCCCTCTCACTTCTGGAGAATCATCCCTCATAACAAAGAATAAAAAGGAGGAGAAAAAAAACACAGTTCAGCAAAACTACCCAACACATTAAAGAAATCTGCAGTGTTCACAGACATAATTCCTTCCCCTCCTCAAAGAAGGTGAAGGAGTATCTTCTCATATCTCTTCTTTGGGATTACCTCAGTTCCTAATCTGAATATTTCAGTGGTTTGGAGTTTTCATTTTATTCTTACAGACAGATCAGATGGGATAAGCAGGAGGTATCCATTTTTAGACAGACTTTAGTGTGTCATTTAAAAAAATGTCAGCAGTTAACATTGTAAAGTTCCCTAGTAAGATTACTTGCAGTATACTCAACTCTGGTGAGTTTCCTTGGAGCACAATCCATTGTTCTCATAGATTTGCCAGTTGCTTGATGTATACATGGAACATCAAGTTAATTTGAAAATATTTTGTTCATTCACATCTTCTTGCTTATCTCCTCCCTTGATTTTTTATCAGAAATACATTTACTTTTAAAATTCAGTAAACTTGTATTGAGTCCCCTGTGTGCAATTAAAACACTCTGCTAGTTATTGTATCCTACCCTTTCCTCCCTCTTAGCACTCTCCCTTCCATGGTCCTCCTTCTCATGCTGCACAACTGTTCTCTGTTTTGTGAAACTGGGGTGATTCCTAATCTTTGAAGGTGTCTCTCCAGGGGACCAGTGATCTGGGTACCTTAGGAAATTATCTTTTGGTAACTTGACAGGTATAGTATGAATCTTCAGTGAGGGGGAATGGTTCCGGAGATCATTAAACTCTTTTAACACTTAAATAGCCTAAGATACGAACTGAATGTGAATATATGAATATGAATAAAATCTCTGGGTTATGTGTACATCAGTTTCCTTCAAATAAAACTTTGTTTTCTTAGTAAAGTTTAATTTTAGGTCTTTGATGCTACTTAAAATGAAACTCAGCTGATCCTGAAAAATGAGATACTTAGAGGGAACAGAATGTGTTGCCAGTTGTCAGAATTGTTCCAGATAGAGACATCCTGAAAAGGGGTCACCTTTTGTTGCACTAACAGGCTTTGACTATGTTCTAATCTGCCTACTCCTATTTGTAGATAATCTTTAAGTGCCCGCTGGAAGAAGTAATGCTGAGAGTAAAGGACTTAGCAAGAGGAACCTATATGTTTTGTCACTTGCTTGCCCCTTTTGTGTGTGTAATAGAGGAGGCTGGCAAATATTAGGAAACAACTCCTGCCCCAGGGAAAAAAGAAATCTGGTTTAGAGCTATCTCACTAAGAAAAAGTCTGTTCTTCCTCTCAAGATTGATTATAACCTCTAAAATTAGAGAGATTGGGATTTAAATCAGACTTACAACTGGGTATGGAATGCTTTCAAGTCATTGGTATCTCACAATCAGATGGAGAAAAGGACTCTTTAAATAAGAATTTTTAGAAGCTGTTATTGATGTTACACCGCTTTGGAAGAGTGAATTTTCTTAGGTTCATCTACCTTATTTTTCACCCCCATAAAAAATAAATCAGTGCTAACCTCAGATGGGTGGGATTTGTCACATGGCTATGTTTATGGCATTTCTGGTGGGAGAGGGAAAGGGGAATTAAAATGACACATCAGACACATTCAACAAACAATCTTAATTAAAACAGTCATTCTAAGTCCCACATTGTAGGATTTTGTTAGTAGCCAGCATATTCTTGGCCGATAGTTTGATAATTAAAGTGTGTCAAGAGCTGTTTTAAAGGAAGGTTGTTATTTCTGCAGCAGTTATAGTTAACTTTCCAAGGTAATATTATTATTATGGAGAAAGATATATTTGATAAAGAATAAGAAGATACTGTTGTCTCAGAGGAAGAAGTTTTCAACTTAAGTATTTTATTAATTTTTCCTGAAACTTTGAAACCAAAGGGGAGAATAGCATTATAGAATATGACTCTGAGTCTCAATCAACTTTAAAGCAAAAGAGGACAAAGAAGTTAGGAAAATGAGTTACCTACACTTTAAAATGTTCTGGTGGAAGCAGTGAAACACAAAGCGAAGTCTCTGCATAGCATGACTCAGGTAGATACATCTAGTTTGGCAGAAGCACTCAGGGTATTAAGGTGAAAGTTGAGAACCAAGTAAATGTTTAGAAATTCAGCCTGACTGTGCTAATAATCCCTAAGTACTGCTGAAAGCAGTGGATGGGTCTCCTGGATGGTTCCTTCATATTACTATCTTTATGGAGTAAAAAGCAAAGAAGTGAGAAGCATCAAATTCTTAGCCACTGCAACAAACTTGTTGCATCATGTGAGGTATGATTCAGTGCACAGACTGATTCACCACAGTGATTCACCACAGTGAATGTCTCCATGTCCTGTGAAGCTGTCCTTCCTGAAGAACTTGGCAAAAGCTAGGATCATAGGACACTAAATCTAGACTCTAAGGAACCTTAGAAGTCATCGAGTTTAACTCCCTACTTTTACAGGTGAGAAAACCAAATTCTGAAGAAGTTAAATAATTTGCTTAATGATAGATCTGTCCCTCTTGAGCATGTGTTGCTGGCTGTAGTGGTTTTCAGTTGTTTAAAAAATTGTTTTAAAGTCTGAATCCTTACCTCATTTTCATATATTTAAAATGAGATAAAGCAATTTACAAACCTTAAAGCATTCTTACTGTAATTTATGAGTATTATTACTCATTTGCTATGGGAGATCCTGTCAAAGGTTTGAGATAACTAATCCCACAGTTTTGAGGGTCATTGGATTATTTAAATTCCTTTACCTTCTACAGAGGTGGGGAGATTTTGGCTGAATTTTTTCCAGTTTGCAGTCAAGTTCCAAAAGGTGATAGGCTCATCTATGCCACAAAACAACTTAAAATACTGTAGTGGTTGTATTTCAAAAGTCTACAAGTGGAATATAAAATCTACAAAAATCTGTGTGTCATTCATATCTCCCATTCTCTGTATAGTTAATTTTTTTGAGTGTCAATCAATAAACATTTATTAAGTGCCTAATATGTGCCAGGAACTGTGCTAAGTACTAGAGTGTTTTTTAATGTTCCTTTACTGTCTTCTTGCATACCTATTTTTTCTCCCTCTCTCCTTTATTTCTCTTATGTCTCTATAGTGTAAAAATGTCCTTGCAACATTACAAAAATGAAATTTATTTTTAAAAAATGTTTCATTGATACCTTTTGCCTTTACATCAGTTATTTCAATCCTTCCTTTCTAGCTTGAACTTTCCCTTGAGACAAAGAAAAACAATTAAGTAAAATATCCCATACAATAACCTCATCTGGATATTTACAATAGTCTATCCTATACACAAATACTATCCTACACACACACACACACATACACACACTCACACACCCTGGAGAAGGAGGAAAAGTTTTTATTATCTGTTCTTGAATGAAGTGTATTTTTAAATTGTTATATTCATTCTAAAATTATATGAGTGGGACATTTTATATTTTTCTTTAAAAGGGGGATTACAATTATAATTCCAGCCCATGGCAAAGAGCCAACTTTCCCAGCCCTTGTATTCCCTCTATCCTTTCATTGCATTCTTAGATTTTTAAACATTGTTAAAATGTTTAAAACAAGAAATTGAGGGAATTCTGCAATTATATAAGCTTTATTTATTCAAAATAATTCTATTGTGCATTAGATGGAGCTTTTGGCCTAAAGATGGTTTCTTTAACTGATGCAGAAATCTTTGGAAAGAGGCAGCAGCCATCTCTGATTTCTTGCTCTTGCTAAGAAATTTAGTTTGTTCTTTCATTTATTGAGAAATACAGGATGAATGGCTTTATCTGGGAAGTAGGTCATACCTTGAAAACTCTTTACTGGAAAGAATACAGGATTTATCTTTTTGCACTGCCAAATGTTAAAGAAACCCACTAAAATACAAGGAGACAACCAAAGTGATTTCTTCACACCCTGTTCAAGAGTTGTCTGAAGCTAATTATGAATTTACCAAAGGTGCCAGAGAGTATGTACCCAGGAATGATGTTTCTGCTTTTACTCACTTTACTATTTGCAGACATGCTTTTACAGTTTACAGCAGTGTGAAATCCAGAAAAGTATAACCTTCCTATCACTTAGCTATCTGAGTCAATGTGAAGTGCTGTGAATTACTACCTGAGTTTGGCTATTTTTAATTGAGAACACTAAGTATTTTGGTGACTAAAGAGAGTTATTTTCCTCAGAGCATAGCAGGAGAAAAGTTGTATTTCAACTATTTATATTACTGCCTTAAATTGTAGACTAATGTAGATTTAGCATGACAAGACAAAAAAAAATTAGGTGCTGGGTCAGCAAATAGGTGGTGGTTGGTTTTTGGCAGATTTTTCTAGATGTGGTTTAAGATAGTAGAAGTTTTGGGGAGACTTGTTTGGATGACACAGAAATATCACATCATTCCTATACCCTTACTTATGG